GGCTCACCTCGGACCAGTCCTTCATGTTGGACGAGGCGTAGAAGACGATGCCGAACTCCTGCGACAGAGCGAGCGCCATGATCCATCGCGACGACTTGTCGTCCCAAAACACCTTGGGGTCGCGGAACTGCGTCTGGTTGCGCTCGACGACGGCAGGCGCGTACTTGGTGAAGGTGACGCCATCCGAAGAATAGGCCACATGCTGTGTCTGCGAGGTGGCGGTGTTGAGCGTGTAGAATGCCACGATGCGCTGGTCCTTGGGCGTCGACTCGTTGAAAAAGCCCGAGGTGTTTTCAAAGTCGATGACGGCATTACCACTGAAGATGCCTTCGCCCTCCTTCTCAGGAGCGATGGCGATCGGCAGATTCTCCCAGTGATAGAGGTCGGTGGAGATGGCGTGGCCCCAGTGCTGGTTTCCAGCAACGTTCTGCGTGGGGTTGTATTGGTAAAACAAGTGCCAGGTGCCGTTGCTGTAGACGAGACCGTTGGGGTCGTTCATGAAGTTGACGGTGGGAGAAAAGTGAATTTGCGGTCGCACGGGCTCCGAGTACGGAGCGTACTGGTAGCCTGACACTGCGGTTCCGTTCGAGCTGGGGCACTTGCTCTTGTCATTGTTGCTGCCGTCGCCAGACTGGCCAGCGCTCATCCTCGGGTAGAGAGCGTGGCTTGCCGAGCCCAGGTCAAATGGGTCGACGGGCGATGGCACGGCGGAAACGCACGCGGCGGCGATCACGGCACCAAGGGCACCGACGATGCTTGCCTTCATGGTGGAAGAGGGAGATCGTCCTACAGCTGAAAGGGCGAGTTTGGCGATCCGTTCAGGGCTGAGAAATCGACGGCGATCTCACAGCGGGAGGGCTTGCGTGACGGCCAGACAGAGGGAGGCTTGCGGAGCAAACAAAAGAATTCGCTTCGGATCGGCGCAGGCTAAGACTTGCAGGGATGCAGTAGACGTCGGAGTGTGAAAAGCTATCTGCACGACGTCGTAATGCGAGGTTTGCGTTTGTCTTGCCCAGTGGACCTCGGAAAAGAAGGTATGAAGATACTAAGAGTCAACATAATGAAGGCCAAGTTTTTTATGAGTCTCAACGAAAAATTTACCATGATCTCATGGAACAACTAAAGCTTGATCCCCATAATGCAGCTTTACATCAAGAATGTTATAACGCTCATGCTATCTTAGACGGTTATTATCGCCAACTGGAAGAACTAGACCGCTCTTTACACTATGTCAAAGGCAACCTCGAAGGGTACGTAAATATTCGAAATATTGTTACAGCGTCAGGTATGATCGTTACGCCTACATCTGCTATCACTTTCGATCAAGCAGTAATGAGTTCAAATCAAACACAAGGAGGGGGTCTTATCAGAATTCCAACAGAACCAACTCCCGCTGCAGAAACAAGAACTCATTCTGCATCTACTAGTTCAGAAACAACAACTAGTTCAGAGACAAGAACTCATTCTGCGTCTAATGCTTCAGAGATAACAACTCATCCTATATCTGGTGAAGGCATCATAAGTAATCCACTGTACTCGAGCTCTGGTGAAGGCATCATAAGTAATCCACTGTACTCGAGCTCTGGTAATCGCTCTGCCCTAATGACAGAGTCGATTCCTTTTAAGAGCAATCTTCATTCACTTGAAGATGAGACCGATCTTGAATTACTTCAAGAAATGTTACCCCAGTTAAATAACCGAGAGCTCGCGAGTCTATTAGTAAATAGCGATGAATGGAAAAAAAAGAACTTACTTTCTTTGTGTAATAAGATGAAGTTTCTACAAGATCAAAAATTAATTTCTAATGACATGACAGAAGAACAGCTAGTGCTCAAACAGGAAATCAAAAGTGTTATATGCAATGATTTGTTAACTGAAAAAATAAAGACCAACGAAGAACTTGCATATTTTTTGTTAGATTGCATTTGCGGCATAGACTGTCTAGAAATACCTGCTTTAACCTTCTCCTTGTCTAAAATACAAAGTATTGTCTCGTCAGATTTACCTGATAAAGAAAAAATAACAAATTGGTTAGAAAATGTAACCAATTTGGTATCGCAGGTTATTGTACCAAATATATGAAATACTTATGCTATGGTTAATTTGTTTAATTATCAACATCTCAAATAGTTTATTAAACGCATATCATATATTTCAACTTAATTGCGGAATTGAAGTGCAGTCTACGGTGTTACCACTTGAGATTGAATTAAGCCTAACAACCCCATCAATATTGCCAATCTTCATTGGTTTAAGCATTGCTGGTTTACTAACACTAAAGCATTTGTTACATATCTCCGAGTTAAAATATGTACCTTTACCAGAAGAAGAATTCTATACGCATCTATTAGCTACCAGTGATTTACCTTGGAAAGGACCACTTTTTACAAAGGAGTTCTATGACTTTTGCCTTAGTATAGGCTACGATATTGCTCAAGTCAACAATTTTCATTATATCATACTTAAATATAACGAAGGCCTCCCGGGAGGCCTTGATAATCTGTTGGTTGGGTATGACTTGAATAGAGAAATTATCATTTCATCTTATTTACGAATTAATCAGGAACATAGATATGGCCTTTCTTCTATCGTCAACC